AAGTAACTTCTGATATCCAGTGCTCTAGCACATACGCCTACCAGTACTTACTTGCAGGAACTGGCTCTATAAGCTCCCCATCTCATTGATTTTTTTTTCACAGAATGCTTTTTCTGCCTAACATATTACAATTGTTTTCCTGCTGGAGAGGGCAGGGGTTGCTTAGAATGATGGAGAACAAGATTGTGGAGTTCAGTTTTGCATCTCCAGAATAATTTTTCTTGGCTTCTCACTTGGTCTTGGAGTGATACGGATTTTCTGTGCTTTGATACATTGTTTTTCTTGTGAAATTTCATGGAGAAACTTGGGCATGGGTCATGCCATGAGCTCACCTGGTACAAGGAACCATGAACTTTGGTAATGATCTAAATGCTGTTCTAGAGACAGCCAACATTCAACAGAGGGTCTGGAGTGGATTTTCACGACATCCTTCCAAAATGGCAGTTCTCAAGCTGGAAAAGCAAAGATGAATAGTCCCCCCTGAAAAGAAGAGGAAGGGTGTGAAGAGCCCACAAGATATTCTACCCGATCTTGGTGTCTCTTACCAAGATGTAGCAAGAATCGTTAGTTGGAGGAGCTGGAGACTGGGATGCAGTGGATCAAGGTACATTTATATGTATGGAAAGAAGCAGAGCATAGGCCTGAAGTGTCGGGGGCGATGTGTACCAGAAGACGATTAGGAGCAGCAACAAAGCATTCCCTCAGTGCCAGAAGCCCTGGGAAAGTGTGCATAATATGAAGACTTGTGCCAGTGCCAAGACGGGCAGGTGCCCGTGAGCTATCAGAATGCAGATATTGAAACTAGCACAAAGACGTGAGAGAGGGAAGATAATCTTAATGCAGAACGTGGCTTGTAGTAACGTAGCAAAGCAACTTTAGTCAGTAAACACAGCCGTATTCTTACACAATAAGGGTCTGGTATATAAGAGAGGACGAAATATGAAATAAATAATCTTGCTTCACCATACGCAAGGTTCGGGCCTTCAATCCCCACAAGTGGCAGCCGGAACAGGGACTTGAAGAGTGAAATCCGGTGGGGAGCCCAGCTGAACTCGATAGAGGCTGCGCAGCATTTTTTACCATTGCCTTCACGGAAGGTAAGCAGCTGGGAACGTGGGAAATTCTGTATCAGCAGAATATAAATCTGTGTACAAGGTTATGCAGCATTTTTTAGAGAAACGGCAAGTAACTGTAAAGGAAGAAAAATTAAAGGAGCTTTTAATTTGGATCTCCGCGCATGTTGAAGAAGCTGATACAAGTAATATATATAGTAAGGGGACTTGGGATACCATTGGGGTGTGTTTGTGGAATGCCGCAACCTCGGATGATCCCGTTGCCCCTTCTTTGTTAACTACCTGGCAACATGGTAGTTAACTACCTGGTATTTAATGCATTAGATCAGAATCAACAGGAAAGCATGCAGAAGGTGGCTAGGGCACCTTCTGCTCTCCTGTGCAGGGCAGTGAATCTGCGGACCCATTTGACCCTGGCCCTGTAGACCCTGAAAAAGAACCAGATTTATTCCCTCCGCAAACTCCTGAACCCGTTATATCGATGCCGGTTGCTATGTCTGTACCTCCCATAGATCGGTGGAAAGACGTGCGAGCCCAGGCATTGGCAGAAGGAGACCTTGAATGCCTTCAAGCCCTCACAATGCCTGTCCTCCTGCGCGAAGGTCAAGCCCCCACCTGGGAAGGTTTTAATTTTAGTTTAATAAAGGAACTGCGAAAAAGTATCAAGGACTCTGGACATAGCTCTCCCTGTGCGCGGAGCTTGATACAATCGGTTTTTAATAACACGATTTTAACACCTAATGACTGTCGTACGCTGGCTCAGCTTTTGTTGACCCCCACGCAGTATATGTTATGGCAACAGGCGTGGCGGAATAATTGCGATCAAGCGGCCACAGCTAATTTAGATCGGCAACAAGGGGATCCACTGTATGGAGTGGGTCCCACAGTCCTTTTGGGAGAGGGCCCCTATCGGGAACATACAGCGCAGCTACGTCTTGCTCGAGAGGCGTTGGTGCAAAGTCCAGGAGAGGCATTACGAGCCTTGTTTTAAACCTCCCTGATGAAAATGGGAAAGGATTTAAGTCATTTGCGACGATCAAGCAGAATGCTACTGAAAGCTATATGCAGTTCGTGGACCGCCTTAATACTGCATTGGAGAGACAAGTGGATAATTCCGAAGCTCAAACAATTCTATTAAAACAAATGGCAGACTGATATTACTCACATCGTGGACTTTGGTGTTTTCCGCTTTGTCCATGCTTCTCTGGATACCTGTTCCAATTTACTGTTTGCCAGTGTTCATCGCGGAGAGCGCGCTCGAGATGTTTGCGCTCACTGGACGCAAGCTTTTGCTTTTATGGGTGTTCCTTGCACAATTAAGACTCATAATGGTCCCGCATATGTCTCTGTGAGAATCTGCTCTTTTCTTCAAGCCTGGGGAATCCAACATCTAACTGGTATTCCACACAACCCTACCGGGCAAGCTTTGATTGAACGTGCCCATAGCACTTTAAAACAAATGTTGTTAAAACAAAAAGGGGGAACCGAGGGGTATGGGACTCCTCAAGAGAGAGTGGCAAAGGCCTTGTATGTCCTTAACTTTTTGAATCGGGTCCGTGATGAGCAGACCCCTGTTGCCTCCCATTTTAACTCTTTTTCACGCCTTCTTCCTTCAGGACAAGCACAAGTTATGGTCCGTGATCTGGACTCCGGCCAATGGAAAGGACCTTTTTCTCTGATAACGTGGCGGAGGGGTTATGCTTGTGTTTCTACAGGTACCCAGCCCAGTTGTTAATGCTACTTTAGCTGTTTATCGCAATACAACTTTATGGTGTAATGTAACATTGGGAATGTATTTGCCCCATTCTACAATGATTCTAGAAAAACGATGAAAACGCATTAGACCATCTACACATCCTTTTCAAAAAGATTGTAGAGATGATCTTACCTTCTGGAACCCAGGAGAGATTATTACGGCATCCATTTTTTACTCCTGGGGTCGCTGCTGCAAATGCTTTAGCAACCTTAAATAAATTAGGGTGTTGGCTTGCCAAGCAGACTCATAATACTGCAACAGCACTATCAGGGCTGCTTACCATGGGGGATCCCAGGGTGGTTATTAACTATTGTGAAGAGTGGCTTGATTGTATTGTTGATAATCTTAGTCTGTTTGTGCCTGTTTCCCTGTCTTCTACAATGCGTGCAACGAATGATAGATCGCGCCTTCAATCAACAAGCGTATGCAGTTTTGTTAAAACAAAAAGGGGGAGATGTCGGGGGCGATGTGTACCAGAAGACGATTAGGAGCAGCAACAAAGCATTCCCTCAGTGCCAGAAGCCCTGGGAAAGTGTGCATAATATGAAGACTTGTGCCAGTGCCAAGACGGGCAGGTGCCCGTGAGCTATCAGAATGCAGATATTGAAACTAGGACAAGGACGTGAGAGAGGGAAGATAATCTTAATGCAGAACGTGGCTTGTAGTAACGTAGCAAAGCAACTTTAGTCAGTAAACACAGCCGTATTCTTACACAATAAGGGTCCGGTATATAAGAGAGGACGAAATATGAAATAAATAATCTTGCTTCACCATACGCAAGGTTCGTGCCTTCAGTCCCTGCACTGAAGTATTGCAGGAGAGAAGAAAAGGACCTGCCAAAGGAATCTGAGAAGTGAAGAGAAACCACTCACTCGATATGGCTATGTAGCCTTTGCCACAGTAAATACGTTTATTTGGTTAGATGTGTCTAAATGGTTTTGTTATACGTTCAGTGTGGTGCGAATATGCAGCACCTGCTGTTAACAGTGGTTTGCACAGGTAAGCAAGCTTTTGAATAGCGTGTGCTACTGAGCTGGCAGTTTAAACTGACAGATACCAGAACATGCTAGGTTTCAGCTGGCCAAATCCCTAATGGATTCCTGTGTATTTTCTTCCTTTTCATCCCGCCCTCTTACAAAGACTGGAGAGAATGGTAAAGAGGTGCTCTAATCTAATAATAACAGTTCTAAACTTTTCCATTTCTCAATGACAATGAGTAATAATAATACTTAGATTTCGTTAAAACTGTCTCAGGACAGGGATATGAGCTAGTTGTATCGAACTGTCCATTCATCTGCATTGCAACCATTTGCACCAGCCAGGCACAAAGTTCCTGATTCACAGAAGTGCTGAGAACCTGCTGCTCCAGTTGAAGTGGCTGGGAGAGGCAGGCTGTCATCACGTCTGGCAGTCAGATCACGTGTGATTCCGTCTAAGGCTCTCAAATCAGCAGCCTTTTTGCATTAAGTTGGCTGAGATTGGGGGGACTCTGTACAGAATGATACATTACAGCACTGTGCTGGACCCTAATCCTGCATGAAGTCCTAGCTTCTCCTACACAAACGCAGACCGCTTCATAACAGGAATTTTACTGAGATGGAGCTCTATACATGCCATGTTCAATGATCTTATTTCAAAAGAAGTTCTTCAGCTTCCATAAGTTCCTGTGCCCAGGCTGAGGGTTTGTACGTATCCATCCCTGGGCAAAATGGATCAAATCCTACCTACTTTCCACTGAGGTAAGGTTTCCTAGTTTTCAATGAACAAATGTTGGCACTGATGCAAGCAAGGTTCATACTGCAGTGGGGGAGGTAGAAATATCAGCCTGGAAAACATTCAGTGTTTGTTTTTAAATCCCAGGAGAAACATATGAACGTGATGTATCTGGGATTTAGAACAAACAGAGCAGCATATTAGCAACCACACAGAAACAGCTACATGTCAGGGATCAGTTGCTCTTTAAAAGTATAAAAGATGCAGCAGGTCTCTTTCACGATTTCTTGTTCCTACTGTTTCTTCAACAGTGTGTAACACACAGTCTGTCCGTCCTGCGCTTTCCGTTTGCTGTACGAGTGGCCCAAGCAAATAAAAACCCTAACTGAGACTGCTAATTGTGCCAAAGCCTAAATATGGGCTAATGCAGCTTGTAAGCTTAGTGCCTTATTACTTACCGTCACAAACGTAAGCATGTGCTTGTTTGTAGCAGACAAGTCTAAAAAGCAGATCCAGCATGTGCTGAAGTTAGTGGGAGCTTTTCCACAAATATTAACATCATTTGGATGAGATCTGCAGGACTGGATTGATTCTGCTCTCAGTGGAACCTGTGACAAAATTTATTACATTAGCAACAGCAGGACCCTTGGCCCCAGCTTAGTTCCTGACACCCTTAAAGCCACCTGAAGGGATCTCAGCGGCACTGACAGCAGTCACTCTCGTATGCTCTGAGCCATTTACGGAAAGACTTTTCTTTCCCTTTCACCATTATGGGAAGCTGCTCCCTTCCAAAAACTCTCAGACAGGTGTCTTTTCCAGTGTACTTGGCAGGTCACCACGTTCAGGCTATTTTGAACCAAATGGAATGAAAGATTTTGCAAGAGAGCAGCCTGCCAAGCCCCACTCTTTTACAGAGAGGGAATTTGGACAGATAGCACATCCTGCTGATCACAGCTGCGGCAGCACAGCCTGATCAGAGCAAGAAGGATCCTCATGGATGACTCATAACCAACAAGTTAAGCTTCATCCCAAGACAATGGGCTGTCCTTTGGATCTCTGAGTATTCACTCATGTTATTCAGTCCTGATGAAATGCCCTTGCTCGCTGCATTTCCTTTCTCTGCATGAGCCATGCTGTCAAAAATCCAGTCCAGCATGTGTGCAAATACTTAGCCAAACTCTGCTTAAAATCATTCAAATGTGTTAATAACAAAAACAGGATTCAGAAGCCAAGGGGTTGTTTAGAATAATTGTTACTATGTTACTGGGGTTATCATTTTTGAGTTCCAGAGATATATTATTCACTATAGATAAGGATATAGATATAAATATATATATGCACATATGTATAAAATAATAGGCAAGGGCTTCCAAAGCAGGCAGTGGCACAATACAGACAAACTTTAACCAGCATGAAAGAAACAAAACACTCTATTCCTATCACAAGAAAGCTGAACAAATAAATAGCATTATCATGCTGATTTGTGTACTCTCCTGTGCCTTCTCCCTCACCCCCCCCCCCCTTTTTTTTTTTCAAAAAAAAAAATTTCTCACAAGAAAGCTTAACAAATAAATAGCATTATCATGCTTATTTGGTTTCTCTCCTGTGCCTTCTCCCCCCCCCCCCCCCCCATTTTTTTTTTTCAAACAACAAAACTTCGGGCCAAATCCATCTGGAAGAAGGACTGACTGAAACTCAGCTTGATTCATTTCCTAATACGGTTCTGGGGACAGCACAGCTCTTACATCTCTGTGTTCTCCTCCCTGCGTTTGGATGGCAGGGTTAATTCTCCAGACTTCCGCTTGGGTTTCCAGGCTGAAGGAGATGGGCCTTGGCTTCGCTGCACCGCAGCTTTTTTCAGCTTTTTCCTTTCTCAACTGCCACTAGAATTTTTGGAGCCCAAAGATCTTCCTGTGTTAAAGGGCCAGTAAGTGACACGTGTCTCTTGCTTTTTTTCCCTCTTAACTAAAAGCAGACCGTACTGCGTCCTGTGCAGCCTAGAGCTGTGGTTCAGGAGGAAAAAAAAAAAAAAAGAAAACATTACTCTCCAGAAAAGTGGTTAAACAGGCGCTTAACTTTAAGTAGGTTGTTTGGCCGTAATGAATCAGTTATATGCTTTTCTGAGTCTGGGCCCTTGTACACCGAGGACTGGCTTAGATGTACTCATACCCAGTCAAATATTGTGGTATTGAATGGCTCACACATCACCTTTACGCATTACATGCGTTAGTGTCGAGCCTGATGGATCAGCATCCAGCCTTTTCATTACCAGTTCTTATCCGCAGCACTGCAGCATATTTTCAGCAGTGCTGTTTTGCATGTGATGACCCCCAAAACATCCAGCCCTGCTGTGGCCGGGCTGAATGACTTTTTTTTTTTT